CAAAAGTCTACAAGTCAGATTCATTGTGTATATTGTTTAAAACCTGGTCATTATATTACTAATTGTCCAAATTTTTTAGCTCTATCAATTGAAAATCGATGTCAACAGGCGAAGCAAATCCAACTATGCTTTAATTGTCTCCGGAAAGATCACATTAGCACACATTGTCCATCAACGTATTCATGCCGAATGTGCAAAAAACGACATCATTCACTTTTACATAATACTGGTGCATCATCTAATATGGAACCTTTATGTGAGCAAACAATATCACCTCTAAGTCATGTACACACTAGTACACTAGTTCCAGACGATACTTCTGCTCGGGTAAAATCAGTGGTGCTTTTGGCAACAGCAATGGTGTTAGCTAAAGATGCATCTGGTACTTTTCAACTCTGTAGAGTGTTATTAGATTCATGCTCGCAGGTCAATTTAATATCGGAATCGATGTGTAATGCACTTCATCTAAAAAAGTCACGAAGTGAAAACAGTCTTGGTGGTGTAGGAGCTGCATCAATAAATATTAAACACAAAACTATAAGTACGATACGTTCAAGGTTAAACAGTTTTGAAGCAGCACTTGAGTTTCTCGTTACCAAAAGAATTTCTGGATATCACCCTAATGAGAGTTGCAAATTCCTGAAAATCTTCAATTAGCTGATCCGACATTTTCTAAACGCCAAAAAATTGATATGTTACTTGGCGCAGAAGCTTTCTTTTCACTGCTAGCAGTAGGCCAAATAAAACTTGGTGAGAATTTACCGACTTTACAAAAAACTTTGTTCGGCTGGATTATTTCAGGAAAATATTGTTCTACTAAAGATTCCAAAATTGTTTCATCCCATTGTGTTGTTAGCTTGGATACAATTAATGCGAACTTGGAACGGTTGTGGCAGATAGAGGAACCAGTTCATCCACCATCAGTATAGTCAGTAGAAGAACAGCAATGCGAAACCAACTTTCTGTAGCTCTCAGTAACGATGGCCGAATTATGACAAGGTTGCCATTCAAAGGCGACACAAGTACTTTTGGAAATTCTCAGAAAAATGCATTAAGAAGATTTTTATCTATGGAAAGAAGACTTGACTCCAATATTGAGTTAAAATTGGAATATGTGAAATTTATGCAAGATTATGAAAATCTCGGACATATGTCGATGGTTAAGGATTTGGATTTAAATTCTCCCCACTATTTTATCCCACATCATTATGTAATTAAACCAGATAGCACAACTACTAAATTACGTGTAGTGGGCCCTACAATCCAAAATGAACTTGTAATAACATTATTAAGATTTCGATTATATCAATATGGAATAACGGCTGACATAACAATAATGTATAGACAATTTTGGCTACATCGAAGTGATCGCAATTTTCAACTAATTTTGTGGCGTGAGCATAAATCGCAAAATATTTCAGTTTATCAACTGAATACTGTTACATATGGTACGAGTTCTGCGCAATTTCTTGCAACTAGGTGCTTACACTACATTGCAGATAACTATCCTTACCGTAAAGAAACAGGTAAAATGATATTAAAAAGGGATTTTTATGTCGATGACATGATCTCAGGAGCAGATGACTTGGAGACATTGCAAGCCATCAAAAATGAAACTACCGAAATATTGGATTTTTACAACTTATCGTTAACAAAGTGGAATAGTAACAATGTTAACATCACTGCACCAAATGTTAAACTTACAGATATTGAGACTGCAAGAGATATGGCATGCCCACTTGGAATGTTATGGAATACGAAAGAAGACTATTTTTGCTTCACTTTTCAATCAACCAATATACCAGCAAGTCATACTAAACGAAACATTTTGTCATTAGCATCATCTTTATATGATCCTTTGGGTCTAATTACTCCACTTATCATCAAAGCTAAGATTTTGTTACAGCAACTATGGATAATTGGATGTGATTGGGATGAATCCGTACCTTAAGAAATTTACACAACATGGAACAAAATTCTTGCTGATTTGCATCAAGTGGTACTTCTTAAAATTCCTAAGTTCACTCGAATCAAGAACTCAATTAACATGCAAGTACATGGCTTCAGCGACGCATCAATTAGAGCATACGGATATTGCATCTATCTACGTTGTCAAGATAATTTTGGCAATGTTAATGTTCATTTATTAACTTCCAAATCCCGAGTTGCTCCTGTGAAAGCAAGATCATTACCACGTCTTGAATTGTGTGCCGCCCATCTTCTTGCTGGATGCTGGATGCCATGTACCAACCGATCAGAATCCAGCTGATCTCGTTTTTAGAGGGTCTACCGTCCCAGAATTTCTGTAATCAAATTGGTTCAAAGGACCTTCATTCTTAATGTTGCCGTGGCCAAACTGGCCAGAACATTCAATAAATCAACTAACAGTTGACGACCGCAAGTTAGAAATTCGCAAACTAGTGTGCATTTTGGAAGATATCAAACTGTCGTATTTGCAACAGAGACTTCATCAGATAAGCAATTATAACAAATGTCTACGTATGGTTGCGCTGATGCTAAGATGGCATCACAAGCACGAGGCACAAATTCAATCATTATTCGTGATAAATGAAATACAACGCGCTCTGTTGCATATTGTATATATTATTCAACAACACTATTTTCACAAGAATATAGTAGTTTTACACAACTCAAACCAATTACGAAGCTAGCTGTATTACCAATTAATTGAACCTGACGGTCTCAATGGGGGCCGGTATGTTAAGTCAATTAGGTTCTCGTATACTTATTTTAAGTTCAATTATTTAATATTTATTTACAACTAACAAAAAAGCTTTTAATAGCCGCAGCTTTCCTTTTGTTTTGCTTTTTTTGCTATTGTTAATAATATGTTTTAAAAATAAAGTCAGTGGTATGTGAACTACTCAAGCAAAAGGTGCGTTTGGATTTATATAAAATCAAAGAGAATAGAAAAAACTATTAAATTAAATAGTTTTCGATCATTGGCGACCATGACAGGACACGACCGTAGTGTGCCTAAAAACAAGTGTTTGAAATTATCTTAAATTTATTTTAAAGACTTATGATAAATTAACTATTAAAAGTGTTTCAAATTAAATTCAATTTATATTAAAGACTTGATATAAATGACGACTAAAAGTGTTTCAAATTAAATTCAATTTATATTAAAGACTTGATATAAATGACGACTAAAAGTGTTTCAAATTAAATTCAATTTATATTAAAGACTTGATATAAATGACGACTAAAAGTGTTTCAAATTAAATTCAATTTATATTAAAGACTTGATATAAATAAAGGCTAAAGGTCTTTCAAATTAATATTAAAAACTTGATATTAATAGTCTCTTACATCAGTAATTGTTTAAAACTTAAAAAATAAACAACAGTTGTTCAATTTTACAATAACCTTGACAATCATTCAGGTTATTAACCTTCATAACATTAGTTGGTTTTTTTTTGTTTTATTTTCGGTTTTGCATTTGCTTTCGGTGATGCAAAATTCTAATAATGCAGCAGCGAGCAGCGCTGCCGAAAACAATGCGACTTTAGCGTCAAATTCTCTGCCGCCATTGCCTTCGTTAGAAGAATTAAAACAGCAGCGAGCATCTACAAAAGGCAGAATAACGCGAATTAAAAATATTGTTGAGAACAACAAAACTTTATCGTCAACGGAATTGGAGTGTAGACTTGGGATGCTAGATGCATATTATAAGCAGGTATCTTACTACCAGAATCAGATAGAGCGATATTGTCCTATAGATTCAGCGCGCTCTGACATCGATGAGCTGTACGTAAGTACAAACTGTTTAATATTGTCATTAGTTGATGGACGGGGGAGACAAAGCTACCATGAGCAAACTTTCTCGTTACCGCAGCTGCCGTCAAACAGATTGCCACATTTAAAGTTGCCTAAGTTTGACGGCAAATATCTTGAATTCAAAAATTTTATACATATTTTTCAAAACCTTGTAGATAGTGATTCGCTCTTGACATCAATTGAAAAATTCAACCATTTGTTATCGTGTCTTCAAGGGGAAGCGTTAGCTACAGTAAAGGCGTTCCAGATAACGGAAGACAACTATCCGAAGGCTCTCCAAAGACTCAAAGAGCGATACGACAATGACCCTCTCATATTTCTGGAAGGCATTGTAACACTTTTTGATGAACCACAATGTATTATGCCTGATTCGACTCAACTTCGCCAATTAGTGGACAACATTTCGGCTTTATATAGTTCGCTTAAATCACTGGGATCACACGAACAGATATGTGATGCAATCATGATTCATTTGGTGATGACGAAAGCGGATAGTGAGACGAAACGTAAATGGAATGAATGTCACGACTATACGAAACTACCAACTTGGCTGGAATGTTGCAAGATGTCAAGCATCTTGATGTCAAGCATCTTGCAACATTATCAACAATTATCAACAATTAATGGTACTAGCAAAGGCCAAGCCAAAGGCTACAATCAACCAAGAGTTGCAGCGTACTAGTGTTCGTAAACCTTTCAAGCACATCTTAATGACGAAACAAAAGTCTACAAGTCAGATTCATTGTGTATATTGTTTAAAACCTGGTCATTATATTACTAATTGTCCAAATTTTTTAGCTCTATCAATTGAAAATCGATGTCAACAGGCGAAGCAAATCCAACTATGCTTTAATTGTCTCCGGAAAGATCACATTAGCACACATTGTCCATCAACGTATTCATGCCGAATGTGCAAAAAACGACATCATTCACTTTTACATAATACTGGTGCATCATCTAATATGGAACCTTTATGTGAGCAAACAATATCACCTCTAAGTCATGTACACACTAGTACACTAGTTCCAGACGATACTTCTGCTCGGGTAAAATCAGTGGTGCTTTTGGCAACAGCAATGGTGTTAGCTAAAGATGCATCTGGTACTTTTCAACTCTGTAGAGTGTTATTAGATTCATGCTCGCAGGTCAATTTAATATCGGAATCGATGTGTAATGCACTTCATCTAAAAAAGTCACGAAGTGAAAACAGTCTTGTTGGTGTAGGAGCTGCATCAATAAATATTAAACACAAAACTATAAGTACGATACGTTCAAGGTTAAACAGTTTTGAAGCAGCACTTGAGTTTCTCGTTACCAAAAGAATTTCTGGATATCACCCTAATGAGAGTTGCAAATTCCTGAAAATCTTCAATTAGCTGATCCGACATTTTCTAAACGCCAAAAAATTGATATGTTACTTGGCGCAGAAGCTTTCTTTTCACTGCTAGCAGTAGGCCAAATAAAACTTGGTGAGAATTTACCGACTTTACAAAAAACTTTGTTCGGCTGGATTATTTCAGGAAAATATTGTTCTACTAAAGATTCCAAAATTGTTTCATCCCATTGTGTTGTTAGCTTGGATACAATTAATGCGAACTTGGAACGGTTGTGGCAGATAGAGGAACCAGTTCATCCACCATCAGTATAGTCAGTAGAAGAACAGCAATGCGAAACCAACTTTCTGTAGCTCTCAGTAACGATGGCCGAATTATGACAAGGTTGCCATTCAAAGGCGACACAAGTACTTTTGGAAATTCTCAGAAAAATGCATTAAGAAGATTTTTATCTATGGAAAGAAGACTTGACTCCAATATTGAGTTAAAATTGGAATATGTGAAATTTATGCAAGATTATGAAAATCTCGGACATATGTCGATGGTTAAGGATTTGGATTTAAATTCTCCCCACTATTTTATCCCACATCATTATGTAATTAAACCAGATAGCACAACTACTAAATTACGTGTAGTGGGCCCTACAATCCAAAATGAACTTGTAATAACATTATTAAGATTTCGATTATATCAATATGGAATAACGGCTGACATAACAATAATGTATAGACAATTTTGGCTACATCGAAGTGATCGCAATTTTCAACTAATTTTGTGGCGTGAGCATAAATCGCAAAATATTTCAGTTTATCAACTGAATACTGTTACATATGGTACGAGTTCTGCGCAATTTCTTGCATCTAGGTGCTTACACTACATTGCAGATAACTATCCTTACCGTAAAGAAACAGGTAAAATGATATTAAAAAGGGATTTTTATGTCGATGACATGATCTCAGGAGCAGATGACTTGGAGACATTGCAAGCCATCAAAAATGAAACTACCGAAATATTGGATTTTTACAACTTATCGTTAACAAAGTGGAATAGTAACAATGTTAACATCACTGCACCAAATGTTAAACTTACAGATATTGAGACTGCAAGAGATATGGCATGCCCACTTGGAATGTTATGGAATACGAAAGAAGACTATTTTTGCTTCACTTTTCAATCAACCAATATACCAGCAAGTCATACTAAACGAAACATTTTGTCATTAGCATCATCTTTATATGATCCTTTGGGTCTAATTACTCCACTTATCATCAAAGCTAAGATTTTGTTACAGCAACTATGGATAATTGGATGTGATTGGGATGAATCCGTACCTCAAGAAATTTACACAACATGGAACAAAATTCTTGCTGATTTGCATCAAGTGGTACTTCTTAAAATTCCTAAGTTCACTCGAATCAAGAACTCAATTAACATGCAAGTACATGGCTTCAGCGACGCATCAATTAGAGCATACGGATGTTGTATCTATCTACGTTGTCAAGATAATTTTGGCAATGTTAATGTTCATTTATTAACTTCCAAATCCCGAGTTGCTCCTGTGAAAGCAAGATCATTACCACGTCTTGAATTGTGTGCCGCCCATCTTCTTGCTGGATGCTGGAACAAGATTAAAGATAATTTATTATATTATATTAATAACATATACTTTTGGTCTGATTCACAGATTACTTTACATTGGATTAGTTCTCATTCTTCAACACTAGCGACCTTTGTTGGTAATCGAGTTGCTGACGTTCAAGAATGGTCGGTAAATGCATTTTGGCGCCATGTACCAACCGATCAGAATCCAGCTGATCTCGTTTTTAGAGGGTCTACCGTCCCAGAATTCCTGTAATCAAATTGGTTCAAAGGACCTTCATTCTTAATGTTGCCGTGGCCAAACTGGCCAGAACATTCAATAAATCAACTAACAGTTGACGAACGCAAGTTAGAAATTCGCAAACTAGTGTGCATTTTGGAAGATATCAAACTGTCGTATTTGCAACAGAGACTTCATCAGATAAGCAATTATAACAAATGTCTACGTATGGTTGCGCTGATGCTAAGATGGCATCACAAGCACGAGGCACAAATTCAATCATTATTCGTGATAAATGAAATACAACGCGCTCTGTTGCATATTGTATATATTATTCAACAACACTATTTTCACAAGAATATAGTAGTTTTACACAACTCAAACCAATTACGAAGCTAGCTGTATTACCAATTAATTGAACCTGACGGTCTCAATGGGGGCCGGTATGTTAAGTCAATTAGGTTCTCGTATACTTATTTTAAGTTCAATTATTTAATATTTATTTACAACTAACAAAAAAGCTTTTAATAGCCGCAGCTTTCCTTTTGTTTTGCTTTTTTTGCTATTGTTAATAATATGTTTTAAAAATAAAGTCAGTGGTATGTGAACTACTCAAGCAAAAGGTGCGTTTGGATTTATATAAAATCAAAGAGAATAGAAAAAACTATTAAATTAAATAGTTTTCGATCAAGTAGTAACAAAAAGTTGGCCAACAATAAGGTAAATCTCATTCAAGATTTCCTTGAGGAAACTGAAGGTTTTGAGGTATATATGTTATATATTTGTCTATCGAGTTTATTTCTTTTTTTGTATTTAACCATTAAATATTAATGAGATACTTCTTGCCTTTTCATTTCACCATTTCTGTTAAATGATGTGGTATTTTTGGAGCAGTACTTATAGCTGTTTATGTTATGGAGATGCATCCGTAGTTCTTTAAGACTTTCAAATTTTTCCTTTAATATGCCAAAGCAGTGCTCAACACATATTCGGTATGTGCAATGTCGCAAATTGAAAGTATCTCGTAAGTATCTACTCATCTGATGCGCATTATATCTGTTTGGAGTTAATACATATTCCGATAAAGGATATGCTGAATCACTTGCAATCTCTCCATGCTGAATCACATTGAATCTCCATGTGAAAAAAATTTTCTTTTTGTTTAAAAATTGAAGTGTTACGATATATATTTGCATCATGCCAACATGCTACATGCAGATTATAATCACAGGCGATGATCAGTGGACCATTCAATAGATTTTGGAACTTTTGATGAAATTCCACGACGGCACATAAGCACAGTGGAAATGACTTCTTCTAAATCATCCAAAATGTTACTTATTGCAACGTCATCATGAGTATCAATTTCTAAAATTCGTATGAATATAAATGTGTGTAAAATAAACTGGCCATTAATTCAGCAAAAGCAAAATCCAGCTCAGTATTCAATATATTCTAGTTTTCACTTTTTCTTGGCATTGTTAAATACATAAACAAAAATCAGTTGTTCTAAATATTTTCAAGACTAATATGCACAAAGTGTGTTTACGATTATTTGAGTTTGCAACGATGCACAGACATCGTGAACACCCCTAATATGTCTTGTTCTATCAAACTTTTCAATGGGGTAATGAATTGTGAATATATTTTTTGCTAAAAGGATTTGTTGTTTAAACATATTGAATGGTTTCCTAGTTTCCGGAATAGTTATATTAACCCCCAACTGAATATTATGTATTTGTGATAGATGATTCAGAAGTAATATCATCGTCTACATTATTTAAATATTATCGTTATAAGGCATCTGCAACTACGTTAAGTGTTCCTGGTTTATAAATTATTTTAGGTGAATATTAATATTGCAAATGTTAAAGGTTTGGATTTCTAATTGTCTTACTCCATATAGATATTTTCTTAATGTTTTTAGTGACCAAACTTTTGCATAAAGTTCTTTTTCATTTATTGCATAATATTATTCCGTTGAATTAAATGCTTTTGATATAATAGTTAAGGGTTTTCCTTCTTGACTTAAAACTTCTCCTAAAGCTACATTTGATGCATATGTTGTTATTACAAATTTTTTATTTTATAGTCTGGTTAAGCTACCTTCATCTGTTCAGTTAATAATTCCTTTAGATTTTTACATAAAAGTATACAATCTTGGATTAATTTTATCTTAACTTTTTTAGAAAGGTATTTGAAACTTTTTCATTATGGCATTCTAATAGTATTTAATAAATTTTCTATAATATCCAACTAATCCTTAGAACTTCTTGATTGTCTAAGTGTATTGGGTTTGTTGACGCATACTGAGAAAAGTCTTCAGAATCCTTTTTTTTAAAATGGTGAGACGCTCAGAAATAGCACTGCGAAAATTTTAATTTACAGTGGCAATCGAACATTAGTTGGCTCATTGAGATGCGCTGCTTCTATATCGAAAACTCATTTATACCGCTTATACCATGATTTATTTTGATTCCAAAATAAAATTTTTAGATTGATATATTGAAATCATGGTTCCAATATTGTAGAAACACTTGTTTAAATTTCTTTTTACATATATGAAAATTTGATATCTATCCTTTAGGATGAAGCGCATCGAAGGTATTATTATCTTAGTTAGTAATTTGATTTTACGCTAATATTTCATTCTAAAGAAATTTAATATATATTTTTCTCCAACATACATACCTACATAGTTATAAGATAAATATTTTAATATTAGAATTATAAGACTATATAAATACATACATATGTACGTTTACTTTTGAAGACTACATTAATATTTAGGTATGAATGCTGCTATGTGCATTCATGATGAAATACCGTTATTCAGTATTATTATTATTAATAATACTGAATAACGCGTGCCGCGTGCCCCTGGGAGCGAGTACACAAGGCAACGTGTCTGATTGCATTTAACATGGAAAATGCCAGCGCAATCCTTGTTGTCCTCAATCCAAGTTGTCGCACAGCCTCCTCGTGGCACCCCTGGATAGTTACCTGGCACCCGCTGGGTAATGAACTAATAGTGCGTACGGCGAGTCCTATCCCCAGGACTTTAAATTTGGGTTGTGCACAGGGTTTGGTACCCGTCACGTAAAATCAACCACCAATGAAGGACGCAAGAGTGCCTCTGAACTGGAAACCGAATAACGTTGACGACCAATGCAAATGATTAAAGGACTATAATTTACGGATATGCACCTGGAATGTCCGGACCCTCTATAGGGAAGGTGCCTCTATCCAACTGGCGGAAGCCCTCAATAAATGTAAGGCTGACGTCACCGCCATCCAGGAAATGCGATGGATAGGACAAGGCTGCTCTAAAAGAGCAAACTGTGATGTAAACTACAGCTGCCATGCAAATAGACGTGAATTTGGATGCGGTTTTGTGGTAAGCAAGAGACTATCAAAATTAGTCCAGCGATTCACACCGGTGAACGAAAGGCTTGCTACACTCCGTATCAAGGCAAAATTTTTTAACATCACGTTAATTTGCGCTCACGCGCCGACAGAAGAAAAGGACGACTTGACCAAAGATACATTCTACGCGAGACTCGAGGAAATTTATGACCGCAGTCCCGCCCACGACGTTAAAATTGTTCTCGGGGATTTTAATGCAAAGGTCGGAAGAGAAGAAGTCTTTGGTCCAACTGGCTAATTGATTTCGCTGCGGCGCGAAATATGGTAGTATGTAGCACCAGATTCCCACACCGTGATATTCACAAGGCAACGTGGCTATCTCCCGATCAAGCAACACGAAACCAGATTGATCACTTCGTGATTGACGCAAGGCACGCTTCTAGTGTGCTGGACGTACGTTCATTCCGTGGTCCAAACATCGACTCAGATCACTACCTTGTCGCAGCCAAGGTACGCATGCGGCTTAGTACCGCCAACAATGTACGCTCCAATTTTCAGAAAAAACTAGACGTTAGTAAGCTGCGATCACGAGAGACAGCCGAAGTTTTCGCCGCTCAGCTCTCTAGCCGATTAAACAACCAACTCTCCCGTCCCGATAATGCCGGTAGACAGTGGGGACATATCTCTCACTCCCTACGCACAACAGCGGAAGATGTCCTTGGTTTCCAACGTCCCCCACGGCGAAACCAATGGTACGACGAAGAGTGTCGCCAAGCTACTGCTGCGAAGAACGCGGCCTATAAAAGGACCCTGCAGTCAGCAGCAACGCGAACAGTGCATGAACAATATCGGGAGATGTGGAAGGTAGAGAGGTGCCTATTCAGACGGAAGAAACGAGATCAAGAAAGGCGCGAGCGAGAGGAAATCGAGGTGTGTAGAAATAGGAATGATGCCCGTAAATTTTATCAAAAAGTCAACCGTCTGACTCAAGGCTTTAAGCCTGGTGCATCAACCTGTAAGGGCGAAAATGGTAATCTGGTTACAGATACGCAGAATGTACTGAAAGTATGGAAGGAGCATTTCTCCAAACTACTATCTGGCGATGATAACATCAACTCTGCCATTGAAGAAATGCCCTCTGTATCCCCAATCGAAAATGATGACATTGAAATTCCATCACCTAGCCATAACGAAGTGCGTGTTGCTATACAGCGACTTAAGAACAACAAAGCGGCAGGCGCAGATGGCCTGCCTGTTGAATTGTTCAAGGCCGGCGGCGATATGCTGATAGGGTGCATGCATCAGCTTATCTGCAGAATATGGTTAGATGAAAGTATGCCCAGCGATTGGAATCTCAGTAGCCTTTGTCCTGTCTTGAAAAAAGGTGACCCGACGATTTGCGCCAACTATCGCGGGATTAGCCTAATACCTGTCGCGTACAAGGTTCTTTCAACTGTACTGTGTGAAAGGTTGAAGCCACATGCCAACTCACTGATTGGACCTTATCAGTGCGGCTTTCGACCTGGTCGCTCCACTATTGATCAGATATTCACACTGCGACAAATCTTGGAAAAAGCCCACGAACATAACATCGACACTCATCACCTTTTTGTCGATTATAAAGCAGCTTTCGATAGCCCCATTAGGGATCGCGTTTACGCCGCAATGTC